AGTACACAAAGCAATATTCTGATTGGACCAGATCTCCTCCGTACAACGCCCACTTCCGGTATCCGCTAGCTAATGGCCCAGTGTTCCTGTTGTTTGAAAATGATTGTTTTATGCGGCAAGGTGTTATCTGCCAGTTGTTGTTTTTACTGTAACCTTGACGTCATTGACACGTGACATTTTCAAATACTGTGGTTAAAAATAGCTTGCGGTGTCACGCGCGAATTCTAACAGGCGACTTCCAGACAAACTAACGATGCGGAAGAACAATTTTAAAACATTTTAAATTGCTGTGAATACGTTTTGTAACTACAAATTGGGATGTTGGTTAAAGGTGACGTAGACGGATAGTAGCATGATCAAATCTAATTAAACTATTAAAACAATAATATAATGGTTTTTTTTTGTTTTTTTTTCCTCTAAAACTCTGATAAATAAGAAAACATGCTATCTGATTTAGGTAACTGGGTGGGTTAACGATTTATCCCTCAACCTAATCATTCCTTTCTTATGACTGTGTTGCAAAGGGCTTCAGCCATACTTCTCATAAATTACTCAGTTTTGGCGGCTCTCTTTATTTTCGCCCATTTAAGCCCGGCAGTCCTTGCCTCAACTTCTCCAGTATTTTGTTGGCCGGCGGACTTTTCTCTTACGTTAAATATTCCAGTCTCATGTTTTCCTCGCAATGTTGTCCACTCCCTTCTCAGGGTAAGCCCTATCCATCTGAACATTACTCTAGAAAACCTGTGATGATTGCAAGAGACTCATCCGTCGTAGCGGTCATACCTCTACCCCGCCACCACAGCATCTTTGCTAATAGTACAATGGGTCGTCTAAACGATTGCTACAACAATGGGTACGGGATTGTAAAATTTGTTTTTCAATTAAATGAAATTAAACTTCTATCAAAGACTACGACATATTTGCTGTGTTGAAACTCCTATTAAGGTCAAGGTGTACTTCCTAAATGGATTCATTTTTCCGCCATTTTTTTCTGTATAGAAAATTCCTTAACAATATTTCTACTGTTTTCGCTTTTTATAACCTTTGTTATTTTCTTAATAATAATTAGAGTCTTCGTTTTAATAAAATTTCCGGCCACTTTTATTGCCCTTCTTCATTGTCTCTGTTGTAGTTTTATTATTTGCATTGTTCTTATTATCTCTCTTTTTTTGCTCTTCATAACTTAAATTAATTAATCATCATGACGCAAGCAGAGATTAATCTGTTAAATACTCTACACTAAAATGGTGCTATCTCTTTGAAAAAGGGCGATTAATACTAATGTATTTTCTAATTGATTACACTAAGTTAATGACGCATTAAAAAAAATAGAAATTTGGTTAACTTTCTCGGGTAGTGTGAAAAAAATTTAGCGGCACTGAAGAAGGAAACAATGTTTCCCGGCTGTTGAAGAAAGAATCCATGTTTCCCGGCTGTTGAAGAAGGAAACCGTTTCACGGCTGTTGAAGAAGGAAACTGTTTCCCGGCTGTTGAAGAAAGAATCCATGTTTCCCGGCTGTTGAAGAAGGAAATCATGTTTCCCGGCTGTTGAAGAAGAAATCCATGTTTCCCGGCTATTATAAAGTGATGCCGATGTCTTCTGTTACAAAAATGCACGTCAGGAAACAGAGTGGGGAATGGAATAGAGAAGACAGATAAACCACCGGGCGCTGGTGAATTTGCATAGTGCAACATTAGCTGCTGCTGTTTTTAGGGATGCGTTTGAATAGTTAGGTTAAAAATAGAGGTTCTATCAGACTGGTATTTTTCTTATAACGCGATACGGATTTATGTACCACATGCAACAGAAGTAGTTTTTTTTTTAAATATTTCATAGGCTATTACGCTCATTGTGCAATTGTAATTTAACTTTTCTTTTCGAACCTGACGGCCCAATGGGATGGTGAAGCAAATTTCACCTGTTTCTATGACCTCGACAGATAAAGGATTGTTGTGGCTAGAGCTATACCCAGGTACCTTTCAGAGTTGGGCGGACTCAGAGAAGTACTAAGACTCTAGCCAGGGATCCGAACTCGAAAATGTCTGTTTAGCAGTCGAATGCACTACCAGTTGTCTACGCCGTGCCTTATTTTGCCACGGAAAATATTACTTCCTTCTTGAACCTATCACTTTCAGACTACTAGCAGCAAGCTCTACTACCGACCACATTCTTCTCTAGTAGAACAACAATGGCAGAACAGCAAAAAAAAAAAACGAATTCGACTTTGGAGGTATTCCATACATGATGTCACGCTTTTATGACGATTTTTACCTCCCCCTTCCACCCGTCACACATCGTCACAAAAAGCCAGCCCCCCCCCCCCCCCCTAAAATGACCTCACACCTCAGCCTACTATCCCACACAAAATTGCATTGAATTTTACTTAAAACATCGATATTTTTTCCAAAATCTTGTCTGAACTCAATATATTTTAATCAATTTATATTAACAATTTATTAAAACAGTTATCTAAAACGCGAAATAATGGCTAACGCACGTTTTATAACATTGCTTTTTTTAGAATGCAAAAGTGTGATGTCACATCATCTGAATCTCCCCCCCCCCTTCCTCCTCCTCACACCTTCACAAAATTACGGACCCCCCCCCCCCTCCTCCCTACGAGTGTGACGTCATTTAAGGACGACCCCTTTATTTATAAATATGATATGAATAGATATAAATAAGTATGTATCTAGTTGTGTATGTGATGGATTTTATTTTATCTATTTCACCAAATGTACCTTTCCCAAAATTCTTCATTTGTTTTTGGTATAATCCTCTTACTAGCTCGAAACCGAAAGTAAAAAAAAATAAAATAAAAAGAAACCCCAGCAGATAACTGTTGCAGTCAAATATTTTAGGGTAGCCTCCCCTGTCAGACCCCGGGGGAAGATAGAAGTGCTGGTGACATGTGTCGTCTGCCTACTGCCAACGGAGAACTCTAACATTTAAGCCGCTTAAATTTAAATGGCTTTTTTTTTATCAACTTACAGACGGTTAAAGAAGATTTTAATTTATCACTAGTCAAATTCAGATCTTGAATTTTGTCTCTTTTTAGTCGTGATTTTTTTAAAACGTGCGCATGTTTTATAGGCTACATACTGTAGAGCGGTACAGAGATAGATTGCTAAACCAAAAGTTCGAATCCGAGTTCAAGTCAGTAGAACGTCCAAAAATCCACCCACGATAGGTAAAGTAAAGGCGGCTGAGCTTAGTGCTGACCACACTATACCTTTATATGCTGAGGTCATAGAAACATGTGAACTCTACTTCACTTGATCCATGGACCGTCAAGTTCAAAAAGAAAATTTACTTTTTTTTTAAATTTTGTCTGCAGTGTAGTCTTGCTATAAGCACACCCCTCCCCTCCCCCCCCCCCCCCCAAAAGATGCCTGAAAGAAACAGCGTTTAAGAACGAAGAAGAAGAAAAGTTACTGTTTCGACATTACCAAATTCATTATCCTTTGTTTTCAATATCCCAGCATTTTAGTCAAGCATTGTTTGTGTTATATTCTACTTTATCCTCTTTCTTTATTTTAAACATTGAAATCCTTCTCAATGATTCTATAAGAGCTGTGTTAATAAAATAAGTGAAATGGATATCCTCCGTGATGATGTCTGATAATGATTAATTTTAGTTTGGCTGTAAAAATATCAAAGAAAACACTATCAAGGAAAAGTATTGTTGTTTGTGAATTGTTTCGCTTGTAAACAAGGCATGTCTGATTTAGGTAACATTTCAACAACACATTAAAGGTTCTCCTTTCAGAACTAACTCTCCATAATTCTATGCCAATAGATTATAGATAGCGTGCTCAGCATGTTGCTAAGTCCCTTAACTTTACCTATCGTTACTTAGTTACCCAATAGGGCTGGGTGGACTTATGCATGCAGACTCAACTCCGGACATATTTTCGAACTCCGAAGTTTTGGATTAGTAGTCGAACCCTCTGCCCCCTCGACCACGCCGTCCCTACAACATTTTGTTAAAATTTAAGTTATTTAGATTCGCACACGTGGAACCCTGCCAGTGCAATATTTGAGGGCAGATTTTTAAAATGACAAAAACATTAAATAGAAATGTATTTACGTACTGTCTCAAAACCAACGGTTGCCATGGTGACGTTGTTTACCCATTACCATAAAACATTTACGACTTTATAGATTTTTTTTATGTGGAATAAAATGTAAGTCAAATGGTCCAACACTTAACCTCCAGGTGGCCTAAAAATAACTGGACTCAACGTAGTCTATTACCAATTGAACCCCATCTGGCTTAATAGGACTTGCATAATCTTTAATCTGAATACTGTATACCTTCACAGTCAGGTGTAAAATGTTTTTTTTCACCCGCGTTAAAAGCTGAAGATTATGAAGATAAATATTTCTAAACCCTTATTTTTAATATTGTTTTTTTTTTAATTATTATTTAGAAATTATTATTTTTTTTTAAAATGAAAATTCTATTAGTTTTTCATATTTCTTACTTTCATGTTATATGCATCTCAGGTAGGCCCTAGTTCAAGTCCGTGTTTATTATTAGCTCGTTTGTTAATCCCTTGTTATGTTTTAATGTTTTTAAAATAATTAATGCCATGTATTTTGATTTAAACTTTTACACACAACTTTAAAAGACAAACATGGTAAAAAAAATGAGATAGTGGGATCATTGTCACAAACTGAGAATGTGGGATCCTTGTCACAAACTGAGAATGTGGGATCCTTGTCACAAACTGAGAATGTGGGATCCTTGTCGCACTGAGATTGTGGGATCCTTGTCACAAACTGAGATTGTGGGATCCTTGTCACAAACTGAGATTGTGGGATCCTTGTCACAAACTGAGATTGTGGATTGTGGGATCCTTGTCACAAACTGAGATTGTGGGACCCTTGTCACAAACTGAGATTGTGGGATCGTTGTCACAAAATGAGATTGTGGGATCCTTGTCACAAACTGAGAATGTGGGATCCTTGTCACACTGAGATTGTGGGATCCTTGTCACACTGAGATTGTGGGATCCTTGTCACAAACTGAGATAGTGGGATCCTTGTCACTAACTGAGATTGTGGGATCCTCGTCACAAACTGAGATTGTGGGATCGTTGTCACAAAATGAGATTGTGGGATCCTTGTCACAATCTGAAATAGTGGGATCCTTGTCACAGATTGTGGGATCCTTGTCATAAAATGAGATTATGGGATCCTTGTCACAAATTGAGATTGTGGGATCCTTGTCACAAACTGAGATTGTGGGATCCTTGTCACAAACTGAGATTGTGGGATCGTTGTCACAAAATGAGATTGTGGGATCCTTGTCACTATCTGAAATAGTGGGATCCTTGTCACAGTTTGTGGGATCCTTGTCATAAAATGAGATTATGGGATCCTTGTCACAAATTGAGATTGTGGGATCCTTATCACAAACTGAGATTGTGGGATCCTTGTCACAAACTGAGATTGTGGGATCCTTGTCACAAAATGAGATTGTGGGATCCTTGTCACAATCTGAAATAGTGGGATCCTTGTCACAGATTGTGGGATCCTTGTCATAAAATGAGATTATGGGATCCTTGTCACAAATTGAGATTATGGGATCCTTGTCACAAATTGAGATTGTGGGATCCTTGTCACAAACTGAGATTGTGGGATCCTTGTCACAAACTGAGATTGTGGGATCCTCGTCACAAACTGAGATTGTGGGAACCTCGTCACAAACTGAGATTGTGGGATCCTTGTCACAAACTGAGATTGTGGGATCCTTGTCACAAACTGAGATTGTGGGATCCTTGTCACAAACTGAGATTGTGGGATCCTTGTCACAAACTGCGATTGTGGGATCGTTGTCACAAAATGAGATTGTGGGATCCTTGTCACAATCTGAAATAGTGGGATCATTGTCACAGATTGTGGGATCCTTGTCATAAAATGAGATTATGGGATCCTTGTCACAAATTGAGATTATGGGATCCTTGTCACAAATTGAGATTGTGGGATCCTTGTCACAAACTGAGATTGTGGGATCCTTGTCACAAACTGAGATTGTGGGATCCTCGTCACAAACTGAGATTGTGGGAACCTTGTCACAAACTGAGATTGTGGGATCCTTGTCACAAACTGAGATTGTGGGATCCTTGTCACAAACTGAGATTGTGGGATCCTTGTCACAAACTGAGATTGTGGGATCCTCGTCACAAACATGATTTTTAAACACTCTGTATTAAAAAAAAAAAAAAAAAAAACAAAAAAAAAAAACATCTAGATACTAATACTATGGTTTCCATTTTCTCACTTTAATCATAACGTTCAACCCGCTCGAGTAACCCAACACTAAAGCGACTAAAGTAACTTGATATTTTAACTCATCATTACCGCTAAAGATAATTAAAGTGGTAATTAGCCTGGCGGTCTACTGGGACATAGACCGATGACAAAAGCGCTCCAAGCAATATGATTCTAGCTAGTGATACTGACTTTATGTTGGGCGGAGAATATTGACCATTCGACATAATATGACGTCATTGTGAAACCATTCTATATTTAACTTTGTTACGTTTCTGTTGTGTGTGAGATAAAAACGTGGCTTGGTGGTCAAGTGACAAGATGGTTTAACAGAAAGTATCAGGTTCGAATCCTGGGACAAAAATTTGACTTGATTGTCAAATTTCAAGTGGGTTTAACATAAAGTATCGGGTTCGAATCCTGAAAAAATTGACTTGATTGTCAAGTGCCTAGTGGGTTTAACAGAAAGTATCGGGTTCGAATCCTGGAAAAAATTTGACTTGATGGTCAAGTGCCAAGTGGGTTTAACAGATTCGAAATGCTAACCAAAAGGATCGGGTTCGAATCCTTGAACAAAAATTTAACTTGTTGGTTAATGGGCCGATTGACTAAACATATTTAAATACTAACCCTAAAGTATCGAGTTCGAATCTTGGATCCGAACTGTAAGATCTTCCCGAGTCCACCCAGCTCTAGAGGATACCTGAACCAAATAAGGGACAGTATATACGGTTGGACGTTATGCCAAACACCCCTTTTTCTGTGTGGGTGGGTCGACGAATCTGACCAGCAGGTAAAAAAAATTATGTAACTTTGATAAGAATTAAATTGACCGTTAGATTTTGAGTAAGATTTAGTAACTTGTAGAGGTTGGGTCGAGGGTTAGGTTAGGGTTCGATCACTGCAACTTGTGTATACATTGCGTTCGTCTTTTCTTCATTATCTCATTAAAGATCACAATCCTTCTTTCAAGTGTCTTGCTACTCGATTTGAAGTTAAAATAAAATCAGCAGATGCTAAAAATAAATCGGACGTGCGTGGTTTCAAACTCAACCGTTTCAGTTCGAATTTAGCTCACAAGAAAATGCCCCCATAACCCCTAAGACTCCCACCCCCCTCCCTACTCCCTAATCCCCCCATTTCTTTTTTTATTTCTTGACATCACATTAAACACGGACTGTGGTCTGCCTAAGGGAGGTAACGTAAACATGGACGCAACAAAAGGGGAGACAAATATATCTATCAGCTTGCTTGGGTTAAACACTGTTCAAGCTTAATCGGTCGAGGAAGGGCGGATAACTCGTTAAAATGTTAAAAAGAACGATTGGAAAATGGAAATTAATTTTAACGTAAAAAGCATAAAGAGAAACATTATTTTAATGGGGTATTTTTATTTTTTTTTAATAAAATTAATTATTTAATTAAAAAATTGTTTCCTTAATGTGTGCATTTAATTAAAAGTTATAATTAATAGAACGCTGTAATTGACATAATTACATTTAATAAGTTTCTTGCGGGGTGGATGTCTAGACACGTCGCTATAAAATTTTAAAATGACTAAAAGAAAACTATTTTAAGGAAATGATTTCAATAAGATCTAATTTTTTTTACAAGAAATGCAAAATTATAAATTTTAAACGTATTATTTAAAACTATGTTGCAATTATTTATATAAGGAATGTATTTGGTAGAATGTACATGATATTCATATACGACATTTTAAAAGTGCAGTGAAAGCTAATTTTATATTGTGTACAGGATTTTAAAGAATAATAAAATACCGAAGTTACTCTCTCACAATGCTATAGTATATTAGTTTTGCGTTAATAAAATGTAATAAATTCTATGTAAAGATGAAATAATAAGGCTTTTTCAACACCGTGCCAGTTCTTTATAACATGAATCAACTTTGCTATGTACGTCTACATTTCTTCTCAAACTGTTTCACGTAAGTGGTGTCGTTCCTTATTTCTTCAGTGTACCATTGCACTACCTATGTATGTTTCTTCTTCTTTGGCATTATATTATTAAAATGTCACAATATGCGTATGCCTGTATTTGTTTATAATACTATCATCACGGCTGGTATGTAATGTTAATTTCGTCAATGCTGGTTCTCACCGTGTAGGTTACGCAGATCTTCCTTCTTTACACCTACTTTTTAGCACAATTTCCATACGGACAATTGCGATTATTAACTCGTCATTTCTGGATGTATGAATGGATGGATGGATGTGTGTCCGCAGCTTTAAGTCGTATCTCCTCCTCAACGAAGCAATATCGAGGACTAGTTCCAAAAGCAAATATGTTAAGCAAGTTCCAAGGATGATTGTGGGTCAAAAAGATTCCCGGAATTCCTTCCTGGATTTCCCGGAAAAGTCAAAAAACCTCGAACAAATGCAGTTTTTGGCCCATATCTCGTTTTTTTGCCTCGTACATGTAATTTACAGCGTCAGTTTATCTTGTCATGTACGCTTTAGTATTACAGTTTCACCCTCAGTTTGTGAGACTTAAACATATTTACAATAATAATACGTCTTTATGACAAACACTTTCATATAGTGAAAATGGTTTACGTCTAAAACAAAGTGTTGAGTATTTTATATGGTAGTGTGGCTAATCTATATAAACATATAACACATTTTGGTCTCATCAACCTACCAGAATGGAGAGTATACGAATACGGGTATTGTGATGACCAAGAACCAAATTGGTTAACTTATACATAACTAGCCGTCCCGGCCAGGCTCTGCTCTGGCTTCTGTGAAAAACCTTTCTGTTAAAGACCATTACCTGTGTGTTTAGTAATCATCATAAACCCGGCATTGCCCACCCAAACCACAACCAGCCAAAACAACAAAACGCAAACATAACGCTAACATAACTACAAATACAAACGAAAACAAAAACCTAACAACAAACCCAACCACAATCACAAACACCAATGCAAACAAAAAGAAAAAAACAAACAAAAAAACTAATGAAAACAAAAACCTAACAACAAACCCAACCACAACCACAAACACCATACGAACACAAAGAAAAAAACAAACGAAAAAGCAAACGAAAATAAACCAAATCCAAACGCAAAACCAACCACAAACACAAATACAAACACAAACCCAAAGAAAAAAACACAAACGAAAACGGAAAAAGAAAGAACAAAAACGAACCAAATCAAAACGCAGCCACTAACGCAAACCCAACCTAAACACAAAGAAAACACTAACGCGAACATAAACACAAAGTGCTCACAGACTAGCCCGGGGTAGAATCGCCTGTTTCAGCTTAATAATCGACTATAGTACCCCAACTTATTCATAGTCTTTTGCACTCACTTAAACGAACGTAGTTGCCAAACCAAACCAAATGAACAATTATAATACTCCAAGCTTATTCGTAAAATATCTACAACATTTGCACTTGATCAATCCCCGCTAATTATGTAATTATTTTTTCCGAACACCAAAACAAAGTAATAAAAAGTAAATTCTTTTCCACTAATGCAATGTTTTATAACGGGAAGTAATTGTGTTTTCCTAATTTATCAAAGGGAAGTAAGTGCTAAAGGTCTAAATATAAATAATTTTCAGACATAATTAGAATTTTTGTTATTTTTTTTTTAAATTGTGTTTAATGAACATGCCGACAATTATTACTATCAGTTTGAAAAATGAAAATTATTTCCCAATCCTTTCAATAGTAATTTTTTAACTCATAAATTTAGACTATGAGCACGATAATAGTCTAACACTTAAATCCATAGAAGTATGTCAACGACAAACAAACAAACTTACTTTTACATACAGAATTGAGCTTTATATATTAGATTCAAAACGTCTAATTCAATTTTTTTCATACCTGAAAATTTAAGAGCCTATATAACACTTGTCTTACACAGATTTTACTACATGTGTTTTCTTTTTTTTTTTAAATTTAAATTTAATACCCTTTGACAATCTGTCTAACGTCCATTAATTTTTTGACGTCCTTGATATTGAAGCGCTAGGTCGTAGTCCAGGAATGGAAAACGACGGAAAAGACCATTGCAATGGGTTGGAGCTTTCACGTTGAAAAAAAAAGAAATTAGCTCCCTTCTCTTAATGAGTTATCTTTCTTGGGCTCTTCCATGAGAATAAAAATTCACAAAAAGACAAAATGTGAATTAATTGGGTTGAAATTTTAGCTAACCTGATTAGCGTTAAATTTTACGGGTAGGCTATTTATTTCCTGATTTTTTTTTAATTTAAAAAAAAAATTGTAAAATATTTCTTTTCCTGGTAGAAAGCGAAGTGACTTTACGTATTTTCAATAAACGCCGTTAATGGGTATTCAATAAATAATTATAAAAATAGATCCTTACTCCACAATTTTTCAGAAAGACATTAACCAGAGATTAAACTATATCAGTATCTAGGATAATGGAATACTAGTAGATAACTGTCTTAACGTCAATCCTATTAACTGCCCTATGGTCGCCTACATCTCTACAGATTCTTACATTCCCCACACATTCCAGAATCATCCCTAATCCAGCAGATTATGTGCTCAATCCCCTAATCCCCCAACACAGAACTTGATTATCTGAAAAACGTGATTACAAATACAAAAATAAACACATTTTGAATCAGCTCCTGCGCTATTTTTTAAAGAGTTCAATTAATTTTTTTGTCGAATCATCGTCTTCGTTTCATCATATTTTCCTGTAATATTCTATCCCATAATTTGGCTGACTTCCGGTCTTGTGTGACCTTTGTCCGGCATGGTTTTATGAAAAGCCGGTTCTTCATTGACGAAGGTTTTTCTATCATAAATTTTGTTTCTTTTTTTCTATTTAATTTCAGATTACATTTCTACAAAAACCAAATGATTTAGGAGTATGAACTTTGTTGTTGCTTTTGCATGTCTTTTGTTGTATAAGTTGTTTAACCGTTTGTAATAAACTTATAAACTTCGACATAGCAAACACAATTTGTCTAAAATGAATAAACGAGGTTTCAAAAAATATGTTTGTGAAATTATTTACAAAATGGGTTTGTTTATATTTGCTTTTATAACAAAGAAGCTACTAGTCGGATGTTTTTACTTTCTCGTATATACGAAGTATAGAGAAAGTCTTGTAATCGTGCAAAAAAAAAATCGAGATTTTTGCAAATCTCGACGTTTTGCATCTCACTGATACGGAAAAACATAATTTTGCAATCTTGTCCGTATGTCTGTGTGTCTG